TGTTTAATTTGATATATTGTATAATATAATATCGAAAAACAAATAATATTGGGTATTGCCTTTAATATAATTTATAATGTATAAGGAAAATTGGGAATTAATTATTCATTTTTAATTTAATTGATTAATTATTTTATGTTCTACAAAAATATTATACATAGCATATACTATGGTATTTAGTATATAATATGGTACTATATTATTTAATATATACACATATCATTTGGTGCGCAATGGTGTTACGATTTTAACAAGTAAAAAAGGATCGGGGCGCAATCGTGTTACAATTTTTTTGTGCAATCATGATATAATTAGTCGGGTCGAAAAAAGAAAAACTGCGCAATTATGTTGCACCGCAATACACTATTATATGTCTATAATTGAATAATACCTAATAATACATAATGTTGTGTTATTGGTCCCATTGGTTATTGTTATTTTTTTAAATAATATCTGTAATAAACCAAAATAAATCTTTGCATGCATATGTAATGTGTTTAAGGCCATGATTGYTGATAGTTATTAGTTATTTAGCAGTGTTGGGACTTATCTAGATAAATTATCTAGATAGATTTTTAGTCATCTTTTATCTTATCTAGATAAATAATTCCAAGTTATCTAATTAATTATCTAAGATACATTTTTTACTTATCTAGATAATGTCTGTATTTTTGCTGAGATTAGAATATTTTTTATTCTTATATTTTGTATTAATAATCGTAAATCGTAATTCGTATATTAGTTAATAGTTAATGGGTTATTTTTGGTTGAGTTAGTAATATAATGTAATATTATATTCATCCTCAGGATTTTCTAGCCGTGTATTATTTATACAATAATAAATTAATAATTGTACCACAACAATTATTAACAAGCCACATGGGCGATAACTGATAAGCTAATATACACAGAGTGTAACAGAAAGATATGACAGATTTACATGTAAATCTTACACAAATCTGTCATATCTTTCTGTTACACCCTGTATATATATAGAATTCGCGCCGACATTACTCCGCCGCATCGGACTACGCGGGCACGCAGTGGTTTCTGAAAATAGTCTATTTTTGTAACCATTAATAATTATTTCCTTTGTTATTTTTATCATGATAGTAAGTTTCTATCATGGATTTTATGCTGTCCAATCATAGACAAGTATACTAATCCTAGAGTCTAATTTATATGGAGACACGGACATTGTTCAATAATTGTACATATTTTGTACCTACTACATACTGTCCAAAGTCCACATAGTGTCGTACCTAGTCGTCTGTCAAGTGTTCTAAATACTTCTTGTTCTTATAATACTTGTCTGTGGTCGTGCACTAACGTTAAGAACGAGTGATTATTATATATTTAGCATATCGTATTTCGTATTTCGTACTTTTTAGTTTTTTGCTAGTTGTTTTTACTACATCGTTTTTATTAAATTAACTACCTATTTAAATTATATACTTAWAWTAATTTTAATATGAAGCGTTTTTTGACACCGATGTTTGATGTTTCGAAAAACTTTTTATCCACAAAAAAAAAAAAAATAAAAAATAAACTATAATCTATGAACCTATTGAAGAGACTATTGATGAACCTAGTGGTATAATGTCTAGTTTGATTGATGTTGAAGAAAATAATGTGTCAGCTGCATCATCCGTTACTGTAAAAGTATCAAAGCATTACTTGTTTGATGGTAATTATTATAAAATTACTTCATGTGTTGACGATAAATTATTAGCTGAATGCCAATTGTATAAAAAACCAATAAACGGTCAAATAAATTCTACTGGCAATTTT